AATATCAATACACGTACATTCACAATATGCCATACGATAAACAAAATTACATAAAAATGATATATGCAATATGTTACTTTATTTTATTCCATGACAAGGTCTCTATACATTGAAGGTTGTCTAATCAACCACGTCCACTTCTCGTTACTGTATTATTGGATAAATTATTCTGTTGATTTCCTATATTAATAGGCACAGAAAGATTATCAGGGCTTCCATTTGAATTTTCCTCTTTACTAATATATCATCATAATCATTATTAACTTTGTAAGGTGATTTTGAAAATTTTATATGGAGTCTGTTTCTTCGTAATATTTCCCCATTTGAATTTCTTACAATATAGGATCTAGGAGTTTTATGCTTTGAAATTATTTCACCTTTATCCCATTGCCCAGTTATAAAGTTGAACAAGGTTCAGGTTTTAACTCAGGCAGTTTCTGTGCGGTTCTATCATAATATTTTTGCCTGGCTTGAAGTGCACGAAATTTAGAATAATGTTTGTTTATTTTAGTATTTAACATTTTATTACTGATAGGTAATTTTGTCCTTAATCTTCTATTAAGTAAATGTTGTGCAGGAGACAAATTTATTCCACTAATTGGAGTATTTTGATATTCCATTAAGCCTACACTTATATCTTGCACTTTTCTCATGATATTTTTCACTATTCCTACAGCTTTTCCAGCCAACCCATTGCTTTGAGGATATCTGGGGCTACTAAATTTAAGTTCGAAATCCCAATCTTCAGCAAATTTCTTAAATAAGTAGCTATTACAGGGATTAATGTCGCAAACGACTTCATTTGCAGTACCTTACCTGGCAAAGATGCATTTTAACTTTATCATAATTTCATTTGCTGTCTTATCTTTTATGTTAGAAACTTCAGTCTCTTTAGAGTAATAATTGATAACTACTAAGTAATTTGGATTACCAAATTGCAAGATGTCAAGGGCAATTTTTTCGATAGTTTAGTTGGAATTTCATGTTGCATTAGAGGTTCTTTTTGATTTCGATTTCTGAATTTTTCACATATTTCACATTTGGAAACAAGCTGCTCAATGTCATTTGCCATACCTGGCCAGTCAAAAATTTCACGGGCTCTACTTTTACATTTCTCAATTCCAAAATGCGCTTCATGAATTAATTGCAACATAAGGTACAACTAATTTTTCATTAATAAATAACAAGTCATCATTAATATAAAGATCATTTTTAACTTTAAAGTATGTTTTTACACTACTATCTACTTTTTTTGTAACATTTAGGCCAACCCTCTTTAAATATATTTCATAACTATTTGCACATCTGGATCTGATTCAGTTTCTTTCCTAAATTGCACCATTCTTCTTTCACTCATAGGCAAATATTTTGAAATTATGTGAACAACATTTAGCATTTCAGGATCATCACTAATAGTTTCATTCACAGAATATGCTCGTGACAAAGTGTCAGCAAAAAGCATTTGATTACGTGGAACATAATTTATCTCAAATCATACTTTAGTAATTTTAAGATCATCCTTTGCATTCTAGCCCTCTAAGCGGCAAGCTGGAATATTTATTGTGATACCTGTAAGAACGTATATATACATTCATATTAAAATATGTCAACGAAATTAAGGCAATATATCAAAAGAAAACAAATCCAGGTATGAAATACCAGTACAGTTTTCACATTAATATAAAAAAATAATTTGTTCTCATAGTAGTTTTGGGAAATTTGTGCTTTCTTAGCGAAAACCCTGGCCGCCCAGAGGGCTAGATGAGATTTTATGCAATGGTTTCTTAACAATTGCCATTAATGGTTTATGATCACTTAGTACCGTGACTTTCCGTCCATAAACAAAATTGTGGTACTTTTCAAAAGAAAATACTATGGCCAATAGCTCTTTTTCGATCTGTACATAGTTTTTTTCACTGTTAGTCAGGCTGCGAGACACAAATGATACAGGCTTACCCTTTTGAATTAGACATGATCCTCGAACACGATCCTCGGCCATCCTTCGAACTATCACACTGTATAATTATATCCTCATTACCACTGAAAACTTTTAAAATTGGAACTTTGGTTAGCAGTTGTTTGATGTTGTTAAATGACTCTTCCTGAGTCTCTCCCCAATTAAATTCTACCTTTTCTTGAATGATTTCTCTTAAAGGAGCAGTAACTTTAGACACATTAGGTATGAATTTTGACAGAAAATTTAACATTCCTAACAACCTCCTTACTTCAGTTTTTGATTTTGGTGTTGGCGTATCAATAATTGCTTTAATATGACGAGGATCGGCTTTTACACCTGACTCAGAAATAATTTGGCCTGCATATTTGACTTCCGGTATCCTATATTGTAATTTATCAGGATTAAATTTTATATTTAGTGACCTAGCTCTTTCAAGAACCTTAGATATAATTATATCATGAGTAACCTCATCAGATCCTGCAGTTATGATATCATCAAAATAAACTTCCACACCCTCAATATCACCAAATAATTTTTGGTTTCTTTTCTGAAATATTTCTGGGGCGGATGATATTCCAAATGGCATTTTATTAAATTTATATCTTCCATAAGGATTATTAAATATACATAGTTCAGAACTAGCTTCATCTAGTGGTACATGCCAAAATCCATCTGTTAAATCTACAACTGAAAATACTTTTTTTACTTCTAACCTACTAATTATATCATCTGGAGAAGGAATTTGGGTGCTATTTTGATAGACGGTTGCACGGATTTTTGGCGATTTATGTTGGCGCAATTGTTGGCGCGATTTTTACAATCGTCAGCCATCTTGAAAAACTCTGTTTTTACGCATAGTTTTTAGTTTCGAACTTCGAAACTTAAAAAAAAATAAATATCGTTAAAAGTAATTGATTAATTTTTTGTTGAAAATGTCGTTTTTTAAAATGGCAGGCATGTGTAAATAAATACATTTATTATGAGTATAAAATACTAAAGTAAGGCTATTATTACTAATTCATATAGCAAAAAAGAGAATAAAAACACCGCTATAAAAACATTGTGCCAACGTTTAATTAGATTAAAATATTACTGAAATTGAATATCGAATTAAAAACCATCCTACCAACATTTAGAAGAATTAGAATATTATTAAATTCAAATACTTTAAAATACGTTATATAAAATATAATTAACATTAAAACATATGTGACAATAATTATCTTAGCAATTTTTGAAAATAGTGTATTAATTTTTTAACAAAAATTGAAGTATACAATTATAAAATAAAAGAAAAATATGTACTTACAATTTTTTGAGTAATTTAACCTCTTGTTTATTGATAAGTACCACAAAAAAATCGAAATCATAATTGAATCGGCTCTTTTAACCATCTTCATCTGTTATCCACATATCTCGCACTTCATTGAAGAAGCAATTAGCTAGGTTTCCTCCAAGAAATTTTAAAATAAATTTTCCTCTGACGCTATTCAGCAATTTATAAATAAATCTTTGATTAGGAAAGACAGGTGGGCCAAAATAAGGTCTCAAAGAGGCAATTTTTTTTCTAATACCAATAATTCTTGGTAATTACCAATAAGAACATTCATCTTCGAAACAGAGATATCCATTCCATTTGAAATCTGACGAATTCGAAGAGATGAATAATAAAATTTTAAAATGGCGTGGTAATGCACAAATATTCAGTAACCAATCAGGGAGCTGATTACATCATGCATAGAATTAAAATTATTTAAATAATCATTCATAATAAAAAATCATTTTTAAAACAAATGCAAAATTAAATTGTATTTTAATATTTAACAGCCATAAATAATGTTTAAAACATTAGATTAAATTTATAGATATTAAAAAACCAATTACTTTTAAGTAAGGTGACGTCATTGATTACATCACCCACAGCATAAAATTATATAAAATATTATAAACAACAAAATTTTTATTTCAAATAAAAATGTCAAATTAAATTGATTTTTAATATTTAGAAGCCATAAATAATATTTAAAACACTGAAGTTATGCATAATAAAACGCATTGTTTTTTTAATAAAATGACAACAAAGTATCAGTTACCATAAACAACTTATCCAGCAATGGGTTTACCATTGTTTGACAGAAAATGATCGGAATCGACTTCAAGCCGAGATTAATGAAAAGTCTCCGGGATTGAACACGTCCTTGCCAAAAAAGAGGAATCCTGTTTTACTTGTAAAAAATGTGCCTAATGAAATACCTAATGAAGATCTCCTTGAAAGTGATTTTTTAACAAATTTGTTCGAATTTGTTGTTGAATCTTGATGAAAATAGAAGTATATGTAGAAGTTCGTTTTACTTTAAAAACCTTCCAGTTCAACGAGGCACGTTGTGATTGAAACGCACCCCATGGTTCGTAAACGTATTCTGAATCAAGCCAGGTTGAAAATTAATTGGAGTACATGTGAAATTGATGATTTTATTATCATCAATAGATGTTTTAAGTGTCTTGGGTACACCATCGTGCTGATGAATGTCGTAAAGCGAACAGCCTGTTGTTAACTGTTCTGTTCTGAGAACACAAGGCAAAGGATTGTTCGAATAGGAATGCTTGTAGCTTGTATAAATTGCATCCGCTTTAATCATAAAACACAATAACAAACTATAAAAAAGTTAGTGTTAATCACCAAGCCCTTTTCAGAATGCTGTCCTAGTCATGAATTTATGAGAAAGAACATTCAATCTCGAATTGATTATGGCTAGATTGGCTAGACGCGTTCTAAAGTGTGTGCAGTTAAATCTTCATAAATCCAAATCTGCGACACAACAGCTAATTTAGGCGAGAACCCTAAATAGGGAAGCTATACCCTAAATAGGGAAGCTGATGATATTGACTGTGCTTTGGTTCAGGAACGTCCTTATTAGAAGAATTTTCTTCCAGGATATAAAGGTACTTATAGACTCTATGTGATCCTATTACTGACAATGTAAAGGCGGCAATCATCATCATTCGATCACGTGATCTATCAACATTTCTTGATTATAAAAATATGGATTATAATATGGTCACCTTGGATATTACTGTTGGCTCAACTGTGCTCACTCTTTTTTCATACTATTTTGAACCCTCAAGAAACATTGACTTAGATCTTCATAAAATTAGTCAAGTCTTTTTGTCCAAAAATCTTAATCGACTGGTTAGGTGTATGGACTCTAATGGCAAATCTGAATTATGGTTTAGTCCCTATTCAGATTCTCGTGGAGATAAACTGAGTGAATTTATTTCTGCCAACAACCTATTTGTTATTAATGAAGATTATGGACCTACGTTTCAGGCAACTCAGGGTTCTAGTTATGTTGATGTTACTGTTATTGGTTCAGATCTTCTCCAGGATGTTTCGAGTTGGCGGCTGTCTGAAAAAGAATCCCTTTCTGATCACATGATGATTGAATTTGAATTTTGTCTCTCTACGTTCTTACGAGACACCTCAAATGTTCCTTTTAAAATCTTCAATACAGGGAAAGCAAATTGGGATCGTTTTCGAAAATTTTGTTCTTTTCGCATCACCCGTTTTATTGATATTCTTAACTACTGTACTGATGGTTCTCGCCTAAATACTCTTGTTGAGAATTTTAGTTTTGTTCTTCTCCAGGCATCTCAAATTTCCATACATGTTAGGAATCATGGTAAGCACAATGTTCCTTGGTGGTCTGCCGAAATTTTTTGTATGAGAAAGAGGCTTAATGCCTCTAGGCGTAGATTTCAGCGTTGTAAAAATCCGCCTCTTAGAGAACTTTATAAAAGTAAATATCTTGAATATAGAAAAGTTTACAATCTAAAGCTTGCCGATGCTAAATCTCAGTCTTGGAAAACATTTCTTTCGACCATTGATGTTCACAGTGTATGGAAAAAGATTTACACATATGGAGTTAAAAGAGGTTTCATGAAAAAAATTGAAATAACTGGTATTTGTCTTTTCACTGGAGAGACAACCAACTCTTTAGAAGAGACAATTACTGCTGTGCTTCAGAAATCTTTCCCCTCGGATCTAGAGGAAAATGATGATGATTTGCATAAGGAATACCGAATACCGTCAAGCTGCGCGTACTGCTTATTCTTCTTTTGTAGATCCTACGTTTTCTTGTGATGAAGTCAATAGAGTTATTTCTATGCTGGAACCAAATAAATCACCTGGTCCTGACTCTATTTCGAATGAGATTATTAAACAGTTTCATTTAATGTTTCCTGAATTTCTCCATAAACGTTTTAACGTTTGTCTAAATGTTGGCATTTTCCCACGTGTTTGGAAACATGCTCAAGTAATTCTTATTCCTAAAGGAAATGAGTCTAGGATTCCTCACCTAGATAACCTTAGATGTATAAGCTTACTTCCTGTTTTAGGTAAGTGCTTGGAAAAACTTTTTATTAACAGAATTTGCTGGTATCTCCGCCATGGAGATCTTCTTTCTGGTAATCAGTATGGTTTTACACCTCAAAAAAGTTCTGAAGACGCTCTTTTACGCTTAAATGAAATTGTTCAGAGAGGAAAAAAGAAAAACTTGCACACTATTTTGGTCTTTTTGGATATTAAGGGCGCCTTCAACTATGCGTGGTGGCCTTGTATTCTCAATCTTCTCAAAAAAGTGGAACTTCCAATGAATATTTTTTCACTTGCTGCTGAATTTTTAAATGATCGGGCGGCCAAACAGCAATTGGGCTCGGCTTCTGCAATTCGTCACCTTGAAAGGGGTTGCCCTCAGGGCTCTATTTCAGGACCTACGTTTTGGAATATTATTATTAATGATCTCCTATTAAAACTGAAAAATGTTGCTTGTTGTGATACTATAGCCTTTGCGGATGATGTTTTGTTTTACTTCCAGAATAGGGACCTATCTGCTACTTTTTTACAGGCACAAGAGACTTTCGCCTCAAACTGGTCAAAGGGTTTTAAATTAGATTTTAATCCTGATAAAACCAGGGTTATGATTATTGAAAAGCGAAACATCTGATATGATTCATTTCAGTTATCTCTCGATGGCACCCCTTTGACTGTGGTAAAGGAAATGAAATATCTTGGGGTTTTTCTTGACTGTAAATTTTCTTGGAAACAACATTTAACTTATGTATCAGAGAAATGTGATAAATTACAGAGTGGATTAAGTCATATTGCACGCAACACACACAGTATTAATTACAATGTTCATTCGCTCATTTATAAACAAGGAATTGCACCCTTCATTATGTATGGCTCTAGAGTCTGGGGTGTATCGCTCAAGAAGAAGATAAATTATAGATATTTACGACGTGTTCAAAGGCGGATACTTCTGCGGGTCATATGTGGATATCGTACCGTACGCTATGAGTCTGTTTATGCAATTTCTGGCTTTCCTCCAATTGACATTGCCATTCTTCATTCTATTGCTTATAAGGAAAATATTTCTGCTTCTACTGTCTCTCAGTATGATTGTATTTTACCTCTATCTGATCTCCCTCATCCTTCAGAAAGAAATGCTGTTAATTTTATTCAGTTTAGCAATAAAATCGTAGATGATTCGCCTGTAACTTGCTATATTGATGGCAGCAAAATTGATGGCAAGGTTGGTCTCGCATTTGTTGTCTTCAAAAATGGTCTTGAATTTGAGTTCTTTCAATTTAGAATCAGAGATGAATGTACCGTTTTTATAGCTGAACTTTTGTGCTTAAACTTCGCCGTCAAATGGGTCTCTAAACAAAACAGTGCTGTTTCAGACTATCTCATTTGTACTGATTCCTTTTCATCCTTGGAGATCTTAAAATGTATTTCTTCTTCTAATAATATCATTATCGAGATTCAAAAAGAACTGAAAAATCTAAAGGATAAAATATTTTGGTTTCATTTTCATTTGTTCGTGGTCATGCAGGTGTTGTTGGGAACGAACGAGCCGATTTCCTTGCTAAGACTGCGACTAAGCGGGAAATTCACACTTTTTTCAATATCCCTAATTCCTTTTATAAGAAGGTCATGTATGAAAGAAAGCATTGTGGAGTCGTGGAATCACGAATTCATTAATTCAAGTAAAGGGAGTTTAACTAGGAGATTTTTCCTTTCTATTAAAATGATTGTCATGTCATCATTTCTCACAAATTACAAATTAAACCCAGTTCTTACTGGACATGGGAATTTTAAAAGTTATTTGAACAGATTTTAAGTCGAGTTCTGAGTCTGTCTGTGACTGTGGCCTCAGCGGCGAGGAGAATGTTAACATGGCTTCTGCTATGTCCTAAATATGAGAGCGAAAGAAAAGTCTTGAAACTGGGAATGAAAAATTTTAATATTAACTGGCCTCCAGAGTTTTACCAATTTATTTCCGAGAGAAGTGCTTTTAACACTTTTTGTCAATTTATTGTAAAAGTTTGTAATCATCCTTAATTTTATTTCAGTTTTCTCTTCTGTTTATTTTGTATTGTGTTTCATACTTACTTCTGTAAGCCCCATGTGATACTATGTTGTGTAATTTGAAGAAAAAGGCTAGAGGGCGCTGTTGCTCGCTTAGTTGTAAGAGAATAAAGTTTGTTCATGTTGAAGGCGGCGGCCTAAGAATACGCTCTGTATATAGTAATTTAAAATATTGTTTTAAAATGTAAAAGTGTTAAAATTAGTAAACCACTGAACCACCATCATCTGATTTGGAGATGCACATAATTATTAGATGGTGCATCGGCGTAAGGAATTAAGGCTTTGTGAAGATTTTAGGTGTTCGATCCAAGTGTTTCGATTTCAATGGATATTTCATATTCAAGTGACAATGGAATTCCAAATAAAGGTAGGGAAATCTTAAATTATTATTTAGTGATTATTTGTAGTACATTAGTAAGTATTTATTATTGCTGTCGTGGGTGTATTTAAATTAAATAAATGGAAGAGAAGTTAGATAGATTGAAACGTAAACGTTCCACATTGAGATCGTCTGTTACTAGGTTAATTAAAGTGATTGAAGATAAATTAAAAATTGAAGGAGAGGAAAATTCGATTAAAGAATTACGAGAATTGTTTGAATTATTAACCGAAAAGAAAAATAATTTAAGAACGCTTGATGATGAAATACAAGAGTTAATTGATGTTAACTTAATTGAAGAAGATTGTAGTATAAGCGAAGAATACAATGACAAATGTATAATTGCTTGTAGTCAAATTAAGCAGTTTCTAGGTGCGGTTACCGCAGTACCGCCAGCGAGGAATCCCCAAAGTTCTGATTTAAACCAGTCTAGTGGTAATGGAATTTTGCATGTAAGTTCCAGTTCTAGTGGGAGTAGTACGCTGAAATTACCAAAATTAATGATTGATAAATTTTGGGGAGACCCCAAACAATGGAATGAATTTTGGAATAGTTTCGAAAATTCGATACATAAAAACGAAACGCTTTCAAAAATACAAAAATTTGTATACTTAAAAACATTCTTAACGGGACAAGCTTCGAATGTTGTGTCAGGCTTTGAGTTAACAGAAAGTAATTATGATAGTTGTGTAGCATTACTAAAGGACAGATATGGTCGAAAAGACCTGATCATTAATTCATTCATGAATAAAATTCTCAATTTAGAAGCTGTTAAAAAATTCTGCTAACGTAAAGGCTTTACGTAAATTATATGACGAATTAGAAGTTTCGATTCGTAATTTGGAAACTTTAGAAGTAACTTCTGGCTCATATGGACATTTATTAATTCCAATATTATTAAAATTAATTCCGGACGATTTAGTTTTGGAATTTAATCGGCAAAGAGGATCGAAAGATAAAGTTGAAGTTTCGGAATTAACACAATTTATTAAAAACGGAAATAGAATGCAGGGAAGTTTCAAATCTAGTATTAAGCGAAAGGAAAAATCCTGTGCCTCCGCGAGTCGATCAATCAAAATATGAAACTAGAAAATATGTAAAAAATACACCCACGGCTGCATTTCATACTGCAGTTAACCGAAAATGCATCTTTTGTGATAATTTGCACGAGTCATTTAAATGCGAAGTGAATGTTTCTGATAAATTAAAGAAACTAAGATCTGAAAACCGCTGCTTTTCTTGTTTTAAAAAATTCCATACATCAGAAAGGTGCAGAAATAAAATAAAACTAAATGTAATAAATGTGGCGGTATGTATCACAATGAATCGATTTGTACTAATAAATCCCTTGTAAACAAAAAGTTGGAACAAGGTTATTCCGAAAAATGAAACTGAATCTCTGACTTTGAATTCTGAGGAAAGAAATAAAGTTCAAAACTTAAAATTGATTGCTTCTGTTCCTCAAGGTGATGATAATAATAATGACTGTAATGCCAGGGAAATATTATTACAAAAACTTGTACAGTTTATGCTTGTTCTAAGTATAAATCAAAATTAACTAGATTAATTCTTGATCAAGGCAGTCACAGATCCTTTATAACGAAAAAATTGGCCGACCGACCATTTAAAACTTACTCCAATCCGTTATGAAAGACTTTCTGTTTATTCATTTGGTGCGACGAAGGCAATGAATCATTCCTATCCGGTCGTTGAAATCGAAATTCAGAATTGGAAACAAAATAATAAAATAAAAATTGAATGTTTGATCTCGGATGTTATTTCCTCGGCGTCCATCAGTGTGCCTAGTAAACAAATTGCAGACTTCATGGAGCATATGGGGTTGCAGATCGCCGATTGCGCAAGAAAAAATAACATAGATGTTGAGATATTAATTGGAGGGGATGAATTCTGGAATGTAGTTTATTCTGAAAGAATTAAAATATCTGAAGGGTTGTACGCAGTCAGTTCTGTGTTTGGTTGGGTTGCCGCAGGAATCGAGAAAAATAAAACAAACAAAAATTGTTCTGAAAATTTAGCGGTAATGACAAACACTGTTGTGTTGAAAGATTTAAAAGGTTTTTGGGGAATTAGAACATATGGGAATTAATGATTCTGATGATTATTCCGATATTGACTGCGAAATAGTAGACCAGTTTGAAAGAAATTTGCAGTTTAAAAACGGAAGATATGAGGCAAATTTAATCTGGAAATACAGTCCGAATAATCTAGGAAATAATTTTGAGGTAGCTAAGAAACGATTCGCAAACCTTCACAATAAACTAAGTAAAACTCCGGAGATTTTTCAGGAATATAAAAATATAATTGAGAACCA